CATGGAAGCTGCCACCTTCTGCTGCTGCTGCTGGTCGATCTTGAATAGCTGCACTTTGGCTCTCTTGAGGAGGCTGAACATCTTCTCCTCTACCCCAGATAGCGGCAAGGAACCCAGGCCTGCAATCCGGGCTTTTTCCAGGGGAGGCATCTGCTGTGGTGACGGCGGTGGCTGCAGCTGTGGCTGTGGTGGCGGTAGCGCCTGGGGCAGGAGCTGGGTTTGCAAGGCCTGCAGGGGCTGCAGTAGCTGAGCCTGTGTCTGTGGCCCGTTGCTCAGAGCTGGAGCCCCATGAGGGGACACCTCGGCCTTAACAGGAGTGGCGACCACAGGGGCGAATCGAGGCAGGCTGAGGTGGTTGGTGCGGCCCACTGCCCGAGGCTCAGGCTCAGCTGGAGAGTCATCGGCAGGAGGAGGCTCTGGCTCAGGGGCTTCAGGAGCCCCAAGAGGAGGAGGAGTAAGCACCGATTCGTAGATCTTCAGGTGGGCTTCGCTTGGGGTAAACTGAGGGGCCCGAAGGAGTAGGGGCCTCCGGGAGGAGGTGGCTGGAGCAGGGGGTGGGGAGGGGGCCGGGGGAGGTGGAGGGGCTGGGGGAGGAGGGGGCAGCTCCCGGGTCAGTGAGGTCCAGCGAAATGTGGGTTCCCTTAGGATGGACCGTCTCTTCTCAGGGAGTGGGACTGGGGTAGGTGGAGGAGTTGGGGCACGTGGTGGAGAGGGGACTGGTGCTGGTTCCTGGGGAACAAGTGGGGAGGTGGTGATGGGAGGTCGCAGGACAGGTGAGACCTCCACCTTTGGGGGCCTGGGGGGGTCTTCATCCATAAATCGCCGGGGTGTCTTGATGACACGGGAGGAGCGGGCACTCACCACAGGCATAATAAACTGCCGGATATTCTTCAGGAAGGTGGTGCTTTTGGGGGCCACGGTGGGACTGTCTTCCGAAGGGCCTCCCGTGGTGGTGCTGGGGGTTGGAGTGGGAGGAGAGGTACCCTCTGGCCCTGCCCGAGCAGCTTCCCGCTCCGCCCGCTGGCTGGGAGTCAGGGGAGGCCGGCCCCTCTTCCTGGAGCACGTAGCTGGGACCACAGGAGGAGGTGACTCTTCCTGCTCCTCTTGGGCAGGAGGCGGTGGAGGGGATGGTAGAGGTGGTGGGGACACTGGGGGTGGTGGTGGAGGGCAGAGTGGGGGTGGAGGAGATGTTGAAGGGGGTGGGAGGGGCGGAGGAGGTGAAGGGGCTGGAGGAGTCAGAGGCGGTGGTGGCAGCTTTGTCTCTTCCTTTTCCACGGCTGGCATCGTCTCCTCAGCTACAGCTCTTTCTTCCTTCTCTTCTCCCTCCTCCTTGTCTTTTTCTTCTTCTTCTTTCTTCTCTTCTCCCTCGTCATCCAGCTTCTGTTCCTGCTTTTTCCAGCAAGGGCTCCCTCCCTGTCCAGATCCAACTCTTCTTTGGGGGGCATCCTGCCAAGTTTCCTCATGTTGACCTTGACCCTGACCTGATTCGAGTCCCAAGGACAATTGTCCCATCTTTACTCTTTTGGCCCTTGAAACAAACTTGATCACAAAAGGGAGACCACCACCTCGGCCTCGGCCCCTGCCTCCACGGCCTCCGCGGCTTGACTGTCCTCCACGCTTGGGGGTCCCAGGTCCTGGGCCGGGTCCCTCCTTACACTTCCAGCTGCCAGTTTGGTGTTTCACTGGAACCACAGGAGGTGGGGGCTCAGGTTTGGGGATTGTCACAGCTGCTTCTGCCACCACTACTGCTTGCTGCTTCCTCCTGCAGGGGCCTGCTGGCCGTCCTGGGGGCCGTCCCCGAGACCGCCGGGGGGTGGAGGGCTCACATGCCCGGCTCCGGGGTGCTGGGGGTGCCTGGGCCCGCCGGAGAAGTTCAGTCAGTGCCTGCACCATCCGTTCTGTGCCTTCCTCACCCCGTTTCCGGGCAGGGGTCTTTGGGGGGGTAGGAGCCACATCTGCTAGGCGAGGAGGAGGAAGGGGGGTCGTCTTATGCTTGCGACCCCGACCTCGGGGCGCTCGACCTAAAAGGAGAATAGGTGTGGGGAGATGGATCAAGCCGGCCCTGCAGACAGAGGAAAGCGCTCCAGGAGGGCAGGGACTAAGTCTTGCTTGTGTGTTTCCCCCGCTGCCCAGACTAGCTTGGACTCTGAACACAGAACACACTCGGCAACTGACAGAGACTAGTTGAACAGGGAAGAGCTGACACGAAGGGCGAGGATAAATTCCTGTGACGCTACAGAGGTGGAGTTCCCCCGTCACTCACCTCGCTGGGATCGGAGCGCAGAGCGCAGGGAACTGGGGGCCACATCTTCATCTGAATGAAAACCCTGAAACTCCTGATTTAGGGGACCAGGGGTGGAGGGGAGAAACAGCAGTCAGTGCCAAAGCCCTCGTTCCACCTGAGGCATCGAGGAATATCCCCAGTTCCCACTTAACATACCCCTGCCTATTTAAAAAGAACAAAAAAGACTCAAAGGTCACGGGGAGTGCAAGAGAGGGTCTTTCCCTAGGGATGGAGGCGCCAGGTATTCTGAACCCCGATCCCCAGTGCTGGACCACAGCAGCACAACCAAAGCCATGGTTCACTGGCTCAGGAGAGACGACGACAGGGTCTCCTCAGGGAAGGCAGCAGGCCCCATACTCAGATTCCCTCAGAGTCCAACTGAGACCAAAGTGGGACCTCCACTGACACCCTCTCGGGCCACAATTTCTTTCTGAATTAAGTTGGGAACAGGGGCCCGCAAGAGGAGGGGCAGGGAGGGCATCAGATGGCTTTCGTACAGGCTCCACTGCAAGCCCTCAGGTGGTTATTAAGCGTCCAGGGTAGCAACCCACACCTTCCTGCCTGTTCTGAAAGGCTGGGGGAGAAATCCTGAGCTGAGCTCTGACTTGCCAGGGTGCCCAGTCCCGGCCTTCATCCCACTCCTGTTCAGCCCGAGCCCCAAGAGGAAACCCTCCACCATTCCACCTGAGATGCCAAGAGGAACTGGGGCCCTGGAGAAACCAGAAGGTTGCGAGGCCCGGCAGGGCGGCCCACAGGTAAGAGCCCAGACAGCTCCAACCTGTCTGCCAAGGCCACGCTGCCGCTGTCAACCACGACTGGCTGGGCATGCAGTCCCCACTGCCTCCTCGCCCAAACCTCCACCGCCCTAGCTCTGCCAGCTGCCGAAAAGGATCGGCCCAGGACACTTCAGCGGGACCGACATCGGGCGCGAGTGCCCGGCTGCAGCCTGGGCTCCTCTACCCACTTCCAGAGGCCCTTTCCCCCGGAAGCTGCATGCAGCCTCCCTCCCTCCGTGCCCCGTCTCTCCGAAGGAACCCTGAGGACCCGGCCTGCCCACGCCACCCCCGGGGCAACCCAGACCCCTGGAAGCCCCG